TGGGTGACACCATTCCCTAGGCAAGTGGATTCTGAGCTGTATGTGATAGCTAGGTGCACATGAGGCAGAGATAAGCCAGCTAGCATCCTATCCTCCTCCATGGTTTGGTTTCTGTTTCAGGTTCCTGATTGAGATCCTGCCCTGGCTTCCCTCAATGACGGACCGTGACCTGAGAAGTGTAAGTCAAATGAATCTTTTCTTCCCCAAGTTGCTTTTGGTCATAGCGTTTATCACAGAAAATGAGAACATTAATCTTAAGAAATACAGTTTGATATGTTTCTGTCAGGCATGACTTTAGTGTAGCTTCATGAATTCAAATACGGCCATCTATAGCTAAAGTACAAATTAAATATCAATTATCTCTTTTTGCAGCTCATTCTATTACTTAAAATGTATCTGTTTTAAAATGAAACACATTACCTACAGTAAGTGGAAAATCACCATTGCATGGACTATATAGAGGATCATTATGAGAAAGACTAATTTCTTTTGATGCATGCCTGCCAGTCTATAAAATGTTGTCAAGAAACCAAGGCTTTAAAGACACACAGTCTCCTTAGACAAAAAAGCTAACTGAGCATGAGCCAGAGAGAGAGCCAATATACAGCCTCTCTCTCTCTCTCTCTCTCTCTCTCTCTCTCTCTCTCTTCCCCTCCCTCCCTCCCTCCCCTCCCTCTCCTCCCTCTCTCTCTCTCTCTGAGATAAACACCTCTCCAGGCTGCAGCCATGCTAGGGAACTCAGATGTATGCAGGTGGGTATCCGTTCAAGTTTATTCAAACTTAACTCTGTGTGCCAAGAACATCATTTGCAGATTTGCCATCGGAGCCTCTGGGAAACCCCCGTCCAGGAGAGAATTTTACACATCCGGCTTTGTACATATTTACCTAAGTCAGGGCCATGGGCAGCAAGACTCTGAAACTGTAGAATGGGATCTGGGGGCAGAGAGCAATTAGTTATTCTGCTGTGGCTTTAGGATCTGTGCAGGCAAATCAAAGCAGATCTGATCGCCGAGATAACGGCATTGAGATGAGGCTCTCAGCAAACAAACTTCTTCAAACAAGGAAGATGAACTTGAGGGCGATAAGAGATCCTCACTAACTCCCGCTGAGCTTGTCGCTGATACGAAAGTGGCTCCTTACCCATGAAATTGCACCTGTCACAGCGACTTCACTTCATTAAGGCAGCTTCCTGATCCGAGCAAGATTATCGGCAACACACAATCTATGACTCTCCAGCTAATGAAGACTGCCTCTCCTGAGTTTCCAACAGCTGAGCTCCGAGTTCTGAGACAGCTGAGCATCGGCCAGAGAGAAGAAAGGATTTATAAAGCAAAACAGCCCCTCAAGCCAAACCCACCAACATTATCTAAACGTCAACTCAATGAAACATTTTCCAATTATCCTCAAGAAAAAAAAAAAAAACCTCGCCTCGCTTCAACGCCACCTGAAATAATGGCCCAAGGTTCCCTTGATTCCATTCTATGAAGACAGAACTATAAAATGAAAGGGGGTAACTATTGAAGATGTTAATAAATATGTGGTACCTAATAAAAATATCTATTTTCATCTTGCATATTTTGCTAAGTTGAAAACAGACACAGGATGGTGGTGGGGGAACCTCAGATCAAATGACTCACGGTAGAAATTAATTTATATTCAGCCTTTTCCAGCTCCCCAACTCTGCCTGCAGGAATCCCAGGTATCAATCTTCTCTGGAGTTTTTCTGGGACAGTATCTATTCAGATAAATATGCTTCTATGTTTTCATTGAGTGGACTTCTTTGAACTCATAAACAAGTGATCACTTCAAAAGTATGCATTTAGACTTGTATCCTAATGCATATGTTAACAGAGACAGTCTCATTCCAGACTTTATTAGAATTTATCGAGCAATTATAGGCATCCTCCTGCATACCAAGCACTGCTCAGACGCTAGGGACATAGCTGCAAATGAGACATGATTCTGACACCAAAGGAGATTCTGATCTAGACTTCTTCATGAAGTTCAGTTGGCAGACCTGTCATATCAGGAACCCACACTGTGTGCGTGTGTGTGTGTTGTCATTCTATAAAAGATACACATTATCAGGTTGCACAAGCCCAACACCAGCATTGATAGATACATGCTTAATATACTGTGCCCTCATACTTACATAAGGTGCTTCATACATAGGCTCATGCATGTCTGCATTTCCATTATCTGTCCCCTAAATATGAACCAAGCATTGGACAAGAAAAGCTCTCCAAATTGGTGGCATCATGACGCTATATTCTTCAGAAGGAAACACCTGGGTAATATGTCCAGAGTCTTGGTTCTTAAAGGAGACATTGATAGAGGCACAGGACAACAGCTGACTGCTCCATACATTAGAGCACTTAGAAATGACTTGGAGACGCAATGTACTAGAAGACCTGGGCTGTCAGAGTCAGAACCGCAGGAATTGTATGATGAGGTGAGGGGCCACCCTCAGAGTGCTCTGCTCTTCCCTTCTGTGCCCAAGATGAACTTGGCCAATTGTAATGAGAAAATAATAACTTATGGTGGTCCAAATCCCATTGTATCCATGGGCAACATTACTGCTACTATCAACGAGTATGGTAGATGGTGAACAATGGCATGAAAGAAAATGAAAGTAATTAGCTAGGACCCTTTCCCCCACTTGTCTCTCTTTCTGTGGTAGAGGATTAAAAACATTTATTTAGCAAACATCTAGCCATCAATTCCATCCATCATCCATTGTCCATCCATGATTTCACTCATTTATCCATTCATCTGTCCATTTATCTATCTATCTATCTATCTATCTATTCATCCATCTATCCATCCTTCACCCTTCCATCCATAATCTATTAATCTAAATAGGTATCATTTACTTTTCTTCTTGTTGTGGCCAAATACCTCATAAGGAGCAGCTTTAGCTGCTGTGGAATAAGCTTTCTGTACACTGTGAATACAATTACTCTTATTGGTTAATGAAGAAGCTGATCAGCCTATAGCAAGGCAGGATAATGTTAGGCAAGACAATCAAACTGATGATACTGGAATGAAGAAGGAAGGAGTCAGAGGAGTGGCCAGCCAGATGCAGAGGGAACAGTAGATGACTGTGTTATGCTAACAAAGGTACCACCGTGTGGCAGAGCATAAATAAGACATATGGGTTAATTTAAGTGTAAGAGTTAGCTAGTAATAAGCCTGAGCTAGCGACCAAGCATTTACAATTAATATAAGCCTCTGTGTGGTAATTTGGAAGCAATTCTCAGGACGGGAAAACTCTGCCTATATTAAGGGACGAAGGGTTTCTTTTGACTCATAACTTATGTAGGGAAATGGTCCATCAGAGTAGAAAAGGCAAGAGTGTGAGGTTGACTGGGCATGGTGATGAATACCTTTAAGTCCAGAATTTGGGAGGCAGAGGGAGGCAGATCTGAGGCCAGTCTGGTCTACAGAGTAAGTTCCAGGACAGCCAGCCAGTGCTACACAAAGAAACCCTGTCTTGAGAAAAACAAATAAACAAACAAGAGCGTGAGGCAGGTGGTCACATTGCATCTGCAATCAGGAAGTGGAGAACAGACAGGAAACAGAGCCTCAAGGCCCACCCTTAGTGATCTACTTCCTTGAGAAGTTCTCACCACCTCCCAAACAGACCAGGAGCTGTGACTCATTGTTCAAACAAATGAGTGAGCCTATAGAGGACAGTTCACATTCAAACCACAATACCATCTATCCATTCATCCATCCATCAATCCCAGCTTCCACACCCACCAATCCCTCTGTCCACTGCTCTCCATCATTTCAGGCATCTGCCTGTCTAGCCTCATGATGTCGGTTGGCTACATGACACAAAGTCACTTTACATGAGGATGGTGCTCCCTTGGCAAACTGGCTTTCTCTCACGGGCACACTGGGCCAAGATCATATGTAAGACCAACAAGTCCCTTTGTGTGACCCGTTCCTATTACAGGGCAGAGCTCAAACACCAACTTCCTCTTTTCCTCTCAATTTTTTTTTTTACCAGTCATAAAAAAGGAGGAACACAGACAAGAGCTGCTGTAGGTGACCCAGATTCCCCCAATTAACATCAGGTAGCAGAGCACAGGGAGAGACTCAAGACAAAGTATCCCTGACTTGGTTTCAAGTGTTTTTGATAATGAATGGGTAGAAGACACCTCCATATCGTGGGAAATAAATGTATTTTCCAAATACTGAGTTTTGACATTTTAAACTGCGTTCCAGGAACAATGTAATACCTGCCTAGATTCATCCTTTGATTTTTTTTTTTTTGGCTCAGTTTTTCAGTAATACGAAGATCCAGAAGAAACCTAAAAGTGACAAAGAAAATGTATGTGACTAGACTAGGAATTCTCCGAAGCCACAAATAAGGTTCCGGGAGAGAGGAATAAATCAAGAAGTCCTAAGTCGCCGAGCCGTTCTTTGCCCAGCTGCGAATTGCCGGTTTCTAATTTGGTGGCTATCAGAGGCAGATCCGGGTTTTAATTTCTCCCTAGAGTGATTCACGATTGCCTGTAATTCCACAGCAGGTGGCTCACTGTTCCATCAGAAAGTGCCTGTGCACAAATACAATCATATGCATTACATTGACATCGGCTCCCAGAAAGGTGGCTGCATACACCCTGCCTGCAAAAGAGGGAATGCTCCCGTGTTTAACACACCTGAAAATACTCACGTGGTAAGAGACAACCTCACGATCCTGACACCTCTGATAGGAACTGAAAGAAGTGTCAACTTCAATTACTGTTAGATGCCACCGCATGGAGAGGCCCTGGCACATGGTAAAGTTTCTATGGCCCTATGTGGGTCCACTACGAACAGGACCCCCATGGCCCCCATCTGGAAGACTCCACCTATTTTACCTGGAGACAGTAATGTCAGATTGCACCCACCACATACAAATCGCAATGGAATCAGCTAGCCAACTTCGGAGCAATAGGAAGCCACCATGGCCGAGACTCCGAGCATGGCGCATGCCAGGTGGGACTCACCTCTTCTCTGCGCCAGCAGATTTCTTCTGACAGATGAGGACAGCTGGTGCATACTTCCCAGTATACTCCGAGCTCTGCTTGACATCCCAGATGGCAGGGCTGCTGGCTCTCACCCCAACGATGCTCACTCCTTTCTTAACCTTGGCCCTGTTAGAGACAGGAAGTACATGTTTGAGACAGTCCTGAGACACCCCAGGTCCAGGTCAGCAGTGGTACCAGGGACGTGGTACATTGTAGCTTTGCATGTATGAGCTCATGGGGAATTAGGTTTAAACACAAATTTGTAGCCATCTTCCTATCTATCTGTCCTAGTCCCCCACCCCCACCCCAGTCCTCAGTCATCCCTACTTTTACAGAAGGAGCTAGGAAAGTATGTTGGCCTTCAGTGAACAGCTGTTGCATATAGCAATGGAATGTCTCTATTAATTAAAAGACAACACACAAAACAACAGCACTAAAACCTACCTGGAATCGTTTATGGTGAGAAAACCAAATAAGAACTGGAAGTAAGCCAAATATAGAGAGGTAACATTCATAGGGGAGCACCTGCAGGGGGAGGGTCCTGAGCAGAAGACCATATGAACACCAAGCACTACACCTGATTTTCCCAACAGTGTCTGAGTTCCACAGAGAAGCACTGAGGCTCAGACAGGTGAGGGGATGTTCATAGGCCCCTGCACATAGAGGTGCTGGGCTGAACAGGGCTAGCCAACCTCTATGTTTCTGCTCCTTCCTGACAGTCTTATCATCTTTGTTGCCATAGCCACACCCTCCATCATCATCATCAGAGCTGCAAGCCCCATCTTCATCATCACCGCTATGACCTCCATCACCATCATTTCCTCAACCTCCATCAATATCACCACCAAAATCCTGGACATCATCATTATCATCTTTTCTTCTTCATCATCACCACCATCCCATCATCATGATTCTCATGACAAACCTCACTCCATCATCACTACCTTATGCTTTCATCATTATCATCATTACATTCCTAATCTTTATCATCACCACCACAACCTCTCTCTTCATCACCATTACCACAATGTCCATCTTGATCATCGCCACAGCCTCATCATCATCACCACGATCCCCGTCTTCTTCATCATCACCACCATGAACCCCTCAACATCAACAATATCTCTACAATATCTCCATCACCAACACACCTCCTACCTTCATCACCATCATCACTACATCCATCTTTATCATCATCACCACAACTGCCATCTGGTTCATCGTCACCACCACGTTCTTCATAATCCTCTGTACTCTGGATCACTTACCACCAACCGGATGCTATTTTAAATGTTATGGTTCTATAACATTTCATCCTCAAATACCCTACTAGGTCAGTCACCATGGAAAATTGTATCTCTTTCATGGCTCTGGAGTAGAGGAACAGGCCTTGAGCAGCAGGAATGACAACACTCTTGGCTCTCCCTGTATCACTGTGAACTCCTGCCATTAGAGCTGATAAAAGTGAATATATTCATTCTCTCTGCTACTCACACAGAGTTGGTTGGCTTGCATAGTGCTACCCAATATCTACTCGTGATTTAGCCAAGGACACACTCAACAAGGCAGTTCATCTTCCATCTGAGACCCCATTTATCATCTTCCCTCTTCCCTTCCTCCATCATAGAAGGGGCCACATGGTCCCACAGGCTTTTCTGCAAAGTACAAACACCCCTGCCCTTGCGCTGAAGCTGGATAACGGAGGTCCTCTTTGCATGCAGGCCCTTGTTTCTTTCTAAGAAATTTCAAAAGGAAAAAGCCTACATGCGATGAGAAGAGGCAAAAGGACAACACAGTAATTTTCACAGTTTGATTGACAAACTGCCTTGTAGATTTGAAGAAAGCGTGTTTCCTACTGTGTCTTCCCTTTCCGAATCCTTTGGGAGAATGAAAAGGGCTTAGAAGCTGAAGCACCGAGGGAGGCTTGGACGCTTCTAGTCTCCTGGGGATACTGGCCGCAGTCTGTCACATGCTCAGCCTTACACCCACGTGATCAGAAGAGGAGCCCCCAGTTCCTGTCTTCACCTCAGAAGTCCCCAAGGAATGGGGCATAGAAGACAGAGACATGCCTTTCCTTAAGTATTTCTACTTCTGTTGGAGACAATTTTACACACAATCTGCAGGAGAGGACCTGAAGTCGCCATGCTCCTGGAAGGCCGTCAGAAAGATTTCAGTGGCACTGGGAATAGGATCCGGGAGAGTTCCCACCATTCCTCAGCTGAGAACAGTGGGACTCTGGGTTGACGCTACACAGACAACACGATTCACATTCAGCACCTGGGTCTAGAAGGGCCAGGAATTTTGGCCACCTTCCGGACAGAGGGCACCATGGGACTGGTCCCCAGTAGAATCCTGCACTCCTGGGCTGAGGTACACTCCTCTCAGTGTTCAGCACTGCATACAACATTGCACAACCGTTTGTTTGGGGGAGCTAGAGTCGTGCTGTGTGGCTTCACAGGGCGAGGATTCTAGGAAGTTGTACCTGGCTTCCTCTGGATTTGGCCCATGTCCTTTTCCCCTCTGGTTACTATAGTTTGTGTGCTTTTCGAGACATAAAGCTGAGCAGCACACGTGACTATAGGGTAAGCCCTCTGAATCTGCCTAATGACATGTTGAACCAGTAGGTGGTCTTTGGGACATGGCATTCCCTACTGAAAGACTATACTTCCCAGATCCCCATATGATCTATAGGAATCATTTCCTTCCCTATAAAGGCTACAGCCAGATGCTTCCTGTGGGAAATTTTTCTCATCCATCCATGTAGGGTGAGATCTGAGATGCCCCCTTATTATTTTTTTTTAGTCAATAAACATAGTTCCGCCTAGAGGTTAAATTTGAACGCCCCCATTTGGCCCTTTCCAGCTCCTTTAATCCTAATAATATAATAGGGACAACCCCAGTACTCACAGTTAGTCTACAACAGGAGAAACGGACGACTTATGGTCAGCTCTGGGAGTTAACACGAGGAGTTTTAGAAACAGATTGTCATGGATAGCATTGCTTCCATGGGGGAGCCGTATGTGCTTTGTGGGGGTTTTGTTTTCTCTGGAGTCAGGATGGGACCCAGGGCCTTATGCACGCTTGACGAGCACTCTATCACCAGGTGATGACACCCCCAGTCCGTGCTTTGCGTTTCACATGACTATACTAGCAGCTGCTTTGGATGCATCCATTCACAAAGGTGAGGTTTCATGTACAAGTCTCTGTACTCAGGATACTCTCTGGCTAAATAAGTTCTGACTTCTGCTTTGCGCAAACCTGACTACATTATAGGCATTCGGGCATGCTGATGAAGGGGCTGAGGAGATGGCTCAATGCAGAACGTACTTGCTGGGCAAGCATGAGTTTGATCCATAGCATTTATATAGAAGCTCGGCACAGAGGAAAGCAGTTGGAATCCCAGTGTTGGGGAAGCTGAGATGGGAAGATCACTGGGGCTTGCTTGTCAGCCAGTCTGGCCAAATCAGTGAGCCCTGGGTACTGAGAGACCCTATTTCAAAAGCAAGGTGAAATAATTGAAAATAGTCGAGATCAGGGTGTGGTCTCCAGATGTATCTGTGAAGTGTTGCACACACAGAGGTCTACGGGTGTAAAACTTCATTCGCCGTGGACAGCTATTCTTTCGAGATATGTTAGTATGGATTACAGAGGCGGCCCCAATTACTGCACGCTGGAATTTTATTGAATCAAATTTGCTTTAAATAAATAGGTCATCAGCCTCTCTTTGGCAATCTTTTTATTATGTGGTAGGTATTGGTACCTAGGCCTTTGCTGACGTGTAATGGGCTCATATATTGTTTAGATTTTATTCCTAAGTAGGTCATTTAGAATTTGGATGATGTTTCTCAGTGAGTGGTCTTTCAAATGTACAGGGTTATTTATTTAATCCATGAATGATCTCAAGTTTTCTATAGCTACAGTGGTTTTGAAGAAGAAATTCTTTCTAAGGTTTATTGCAGAACACTGGATTTGCCTGTCTCACAAACAGAAAGACTTTGCTGAGAAACCACACATACACACACACACACACACACACACAGCCGGTGACTCTGACACAGAGTGGGAAAAAGATGTTTGCACGGTGGAGGCCTGCGCTGTGTGTGAGAATCACGTACAAATATATGCAAGCTTGGCCACCTGCTCCTTGGAGATAGGTCCATAGTATTTGTAGAACATGGCGCACCTGCGTTAATCATTCTGAAACACTCCTTCCAGAGTTACAAGTAGCAGTGTGTGGAAGCTCATAGCAGGCAGTTCTTAGAACCCGTGGAGACTGGCATCACTGGGTCTGAACCAAACGTTAGTTCCTTCTTTGTTTATGACAAGCGGGTTCGTTATAGTCATTAATGGAAGTTTATAACCCACTTGTGGTTCCATAAATACAGGTTACCCTGACAGCCTCATTACCAGCGATAAACACAGCACTTGATTTCTGAAGACACTTTACCGTAGATTTACATCTAATAACACATCCACCACAGTTGAGAGCGAGAAAGCCATAATTTTCCCCAGAGTATGCCCAGGCCAGTGAAGGCTGATACAGACAAACCTGCTTGGGCTTAGAGGATGGCATGCCTTTAAAACATAATAGAATAAGCTGTAAAGTCTAGACAGGTGCATATGTATGATGTAAGTATCATGTATATAGCATATGCACATGTATACCCACACTGCCTCAAACACAGGACTCAGGAACTTAATTGATAGAGCCAGGACTAGCTAGCAGCCTGGACACCAAACCGAGGGGCATAGTGGTTAATGTTTTTACCTCCATTTGCCCCTCACATCCCAGCCTCTGTCCTCTGTCAATGTTGGGCATGATTCTAGACCCTGCATTCAGGGTATCTGTCCACCACCTTATAAAAAAGGTTGACAGTTGACCCAAGTCAACCTACCCAAAAGCCCTCTTCTAGGAATTTACCAAGCACTGGGCCCTGATAAACCTCCTATTTCTCTCCCTCCTTGCCACCTTGCTTCTTCCTCTCTAGTCTATGACATTAACATATGCAAATAAGATTTTCATTATCATATGCAAATTATCATTTAGCCTCAACATCTGCAAGCAATCCATTCCATTGAGGTCAAGACATGCAAACTGTCCTTTAGTAGTAACATATGCAAACTGT